GAGATTCAACAACAAAACCTATTATTTAAAATAATTATAATAAATCAATAACACAATATAATCATTTTAAATTAAATCAATATATATAAATTGAATAGAATTATAATCTTTCAAAAAACTATATTTTTTAATATCTAATATACCATTCTTTAGCCTCAATAATAGTATCTCTCCTATTTTCTATACTCTTTAAATACTCTAAAAATATTTTATTAAAAATAAGATTCCAAGTTTCTATTAATACTCTTTTAAATATTTATAAAGCATTTTTTCTATTTTCTATAACTTCAATTTCTAGGTACTTTTGAAGTACGATTTTTTTGAGATGAAATTATATATGTTTTATAGGATTTAGATTAGAAGAGTAAGATAGCTAATCAATAACTGATATAGTATTATCTCTAAACTAATTGAGGATTTTTTGGGCTTTATGAATAGGAGTATTATCCTATATAAAAACTAGCTTGGGTTTCTAGTAGGAGGGTATCTGATATTCGAGTACAGCAAAATAGGAGTTGACTAAATACTTATTTTTCTTCAATTCAAAATCCCTATTTAATATATATAAACTAGATCTTCTAATAACTCCATTTTTATACCAAAAGCATTCCCATATTATTATTAATATATTCTTTGACTTTTTATATATTATAACATACTGTAGGAACAATCTTTCAGTTGTAATACAAAAAGCTCATTCCCTACTTCTCTTTTTTCTTTATTCTATTGAATACTCATTATTCCACATATACTTCGCAAAATCCTCGAAGATCCAATCCTTTTATAATATATATTATTCGAATCGCAATTTAACAATCTCTTTTATAAAATAAAGATATCTTTTACAAATCTAATTTGTAATTCTAAAGGACTCTAAAATAAAGTATATAGTTTAATTATAATATTTATAAAAGAGAGCTCGGCAAAGCTCTATATATATAGATTTTAGAAAAAGTTGTATATAATATATAATTTTATATACATCTCAATTTGTATATTTATACAATCAATCAATATGCGATTTAGTGTTTCCCTCTTTTTGCAATAAATCTTTTAACAAAATAATACAAATTGTTAAATTGAAGATATTTAGAATCTTTGAAATATATACCGGCTTTATTCTGCTATATTATATTCTAACGATTTTCCCCCTCATATAAAAACTTAATTCCTTCCCTCTTTTAATATTATTATCAATTGAACCTAATACAATTTATAATTGCAATATGATTAATAATTTAAATAAAAGTGTTGATTGAAAATTACACATTCTTTCGCGTTTTAATATTTTTCGTATAAACTTTATGCTTAGTACTGTATATATATACTATTCTTATTGCTATTGCTATTACTATTGTAATGAAATAAAGTAAAATTGTGGAATGAATATCACCTAGACATAGATAGATGATGTTGTATATACAAAACTAAAAATAGAGGAGAGATCAAGTACGAATGAGTTATATCTTCGAAAATAAGCGAGACAGAGTCCTTTTTATCGAGTTTAATTAATCAATGATCGAAAAATATAGAATTTGTTTTTAACACGTCTTTACTTTACTCTATACAGTTATTACTTTTTTTTCAATGAATTTCGGCTTCAATAAAATAATTTACGTGATTTCGTTAGTTATTCTTTTACGAGATACTATAATATTAAGAATATTAAGATAATATAAACTAGATAGTTAGATCGCTTGAATTGAGTCTCACTAAGCGAATCTTTGGTTTTTTTCGTATATGTGTACTACTAATCCTCGCGAATAGTAAGAATATAAAGGAGCTAAATCTTTAATGAAAGGGTTGGATTTCTCTTATATAGTAGTTGATAATAATTTATGAATATTATTAATTAAAAGAATTAAAACCTTCCTTACTTCTAATTCAATTCTATATAATTTGATATTATTACGAACATATTAACCTTAATATTCAATATCCTTATCATTTTGATGAAATCTTCAAATGTGGAAGAAAAGAATTCGAACACACTCACTCGTATTGTTAGTACTATTCCAGATTTCGAGACAGCGAGGCCTATATGTACGCGATGTGCGCTAGTTCATATCGCGTGCATATTCACGGCATCGCAACGACAACATATATCAGTGGGTGAACATGAATGAACACAGCATTTGGAAATAGATAATCACTATGACAGATCAAACACCTGACACAACAGAATCATGTTTGAAATGGGGGATTGACTGTAGGGCTACATATTCTGAGAGAGGGAATAAGACCAAATGGGTTTGGATGCGTGCGGGGTTATCGGGATCAAAAGAAGAGCAATGGTTTGTCATTGGGTTGGGCTCGAGTACGCAATATATTCTCCCGTCATGGCAGAGAGATCAGATGGGCTGATTGTGAAAGGCGTCAACGTTAACAAGGTCAAATCATCCAGAGTGGTATATTATCGGGGTACATGTCATTCTTACTGAGATACTCTCAAAGAGGAGAAAGACAATCCATAACATGTGAATGTCATATCATCACATCTGTCTTTCTATATATAAATACCTGGATTCCCTCCTTCAAAATGTCATTACTTTTCCTAACCAAGCGAACAGATTCATCTCATTATCCATTCCAACAAACTTCATATCCAAATCACAACCCAACCTTCCTTACAAAATGCCCAACCAAACCCGCGATTGTGGGGACCTGAGAGTCACCATGACGTCAGAATACCACTGGGCTTGGGACAACAACGAGAACGGAACCCATCGAGGAGCCACCTTCTAGAACCCTGTACCCCAGGGAGATATGCGTACATTGGGTACAGTCTGCGTAGGCAACAAAACTACTGGGCGAGAAATTGGAGAGCCACACTCTTGTTTGGACCCAACCCAAATTCGACGAGTCCAAATCTGGCGGTCAAGAGACCGACTGATTTTACTAGATTGTGGTGGGAATCTAATGATCATTCTTGGCATATGGGTTCTGTCTGGCGCCCGTGAGTAATGTCTTTAGCAGTCTTGATTTTGTTTCTATTCTGAAGAAAAGAGTGGCACAAAATGAGGAGTAATCATACACTGACTCGGTTATTTACTTTCATAGAATTGCTCCACCTGGCTATGTTGCCCTTGGAGATTTAATGGTCTACAGTGTCTCCAAACCAAGTCTCGACTACCTCTGGTGCTTGCGAGCCGATCTCGTTAAACCTGCCAACTACTGGCCCTCTGATATATGGAACGACCGAGGATCCGGAAGATCCATAGACATCTCTGTCTGGGCGGTAGTCCCTGAAGCTATGTGCCTAAATGGCAAAGAGAAAATTCCCCTCTTCGCCGACACTTTTATCCACTCCGCCAGCTACAGTCCACCCGACACTGGACTCGCATTCGTACCGGTCCTAGACCTAGGAAACGAATCCAAAGAATTTGATCAATCAGTTCCAACCTTCACAAAAACTTCCATCCCAAACACAGGAAAAACTTATGCCATGGTTGAACAAGCCGCCGTCACTCTCCCCATGCGCTGCTTCTTCGCGTCTGACGACACCCGTACCATTGCCCAGATTGCAAACCCTTTTATATCCCTCAGCAAAGCCATCGCCTGGAACGTTGAAGGTGTGTACGAAAACGGTGGGAATGGAACTTTCTCCCGCGAACAACGCATCAAATACGGTATCTCCAAATCACAGACGGAAACCATGGAACATCAAGTTGGCATTACGATCACTGCTTCCCATGGGTTCAAACTCGTCGAAATGTCAGTTACGTTGAATTATCAGTTTACGCATACGCAATCAACGAGTTTTACGGAGTTTACGGAAACGGAGATTACGCAGAGATTTGACGTGCCACCCAAAACTTGTACGGTGCTTTTTAGTAAACATGTTTATCTGAAGGGGACAATGAAAAACGGTGGAACTATTTAGAGTGAGATTGAGGCAGTGGCAAATGAAGACGTGCATTTTGGTGGTTGCAATCTTTGATAGGGTTGTATGTGATGGCGATGGTGTATGGAAGTCTGTGACTGAGTGAGTTGTTTCTATCTCTCCTCCAAATTCCTCAAAGTCGTCATCGCTGATAGTTTTATGGAAATTCAGATCATAGCCAGCAAGATAGTAATCACCCAGTATTTACTCTCTCATTATTTTCTTTCTTTTACCATCACTCATTGTAAGCAGCTTCATGGTTTTTACATCATATTAAGTCGGATCAGATCAAATCGATTCAGAATAAGCGGAAAAAAAGTTGATTGAAAAAAATGTTATCGTTCTCTTCTATCGAATTCCTTGTATTGCATTGGTCTTTCAACCGAACTGTTTTCTTTCTTTAACTATTTGTCTTGCCTGGGCAGAATGAATATCAATGCTTCGCGACGATTGTGTTATGAGATTCCCTTACGTGACTTTGATTTACATCCAAGTGTGGTACACTTATCCACCGCCATATCAAGGAATCAATACATGCGAAGAGTAAACAACAGACGGCAAACATTTGATGATACACTACTTTGTTTGCTTGCTTTCCGAAATCGCATTTCCTTAGTACACATTCGCTTGTATTCAGATTCCCAGACCCTTATGATTCTCTTGCTTCTTTGCGAAAAATTGTCAATCCGAGGCTCGCTTGTTACAAGATAATCTGCTGACAGCTCGAATTAGATCTGCTTGTTGTGTGAGCCCAAGGTAAATAGCTTGTACATCACCTTATCAGTGAATGGAAATATAGGCGGGGTTGTAGGCTGTCATTTTTCAGTGATAAAAGAGAGATATGGAGGGATTCGCACTTTATTGCACTGCCGAATGCCAACTGAACGTTGGCCATAGGTATGGTTCATGGAGTAGTTGCGATCTAAATTGTAAACCCATTATCTATATTTCTTTCAATCTTTTCAAGTCAAGATGAGTATTTCTTCCGTCATTGAGGTTTGCCATCGTCATTTTCGTTCCCCAGCCTTTCCATCTTCCCAATTCCAAAGCCTAGCAGAGTATTCCTTTATCATGACACTAGTGTGATATTAAACTGAGATAGAACAATACATACCATTCAAAATATAGGATCACACCTCCATCGGATCTCTTCTTTTTCAAGAATTTTATCATATTTATTTCCAAAAATCCTTCGCAGCAGCGACATCTCATATTTATTACCCCAAACTCCAAAGCTCGCATGGGTAAATTCCCAATATTCCGGCTTAAATCCAGCACACTCCCAATCAATGATACCACAGAGCCGCCCCTGGTCCACCAACAAATTGGAATAGTGTAAATCGGAATGTGTAAATACTGACTGGTATCCGTGAGGTATGTTTTCTTCCCCATCATATATCTCTGCAAGTGATTGACCCTCGCCTACCTCACTGTACATATATGTATGGAGATCAAACTCGGTATTGAAAGGACCACCAGTTCGATTCGGTATGAGATGATCATACATAGGACCACCCAGCGTGTCAGAAAAAAGATAAGGAGTAGTATTTGGGATGTTTCTCAATTGTGTGACACATTTTCCGATATCATCCATAAACTGATTTCTTTCCGCATATGACATTAGATGAAATGAACGTCGAAAACTTTCCCCGCTTAGGCGTGTCATAACTAAGAAGGTGATACCTTGGCTTGAATCTTCCACAACATCGACGCTTCGAGGGGCTGGGATAGAGGTGTATCGCTCAACCATATTGAGAGCATTTGATTCATTCCATGAGGTCCCCTGTGTTCTTTTGATATGAAGACCAAAAGGAATTCTTTGAACCCATCGCACTTCTTCTGGCCCATACAACCATTTTCCAATGGTCCACATATGACGATAACAGCGCAATCGTATCGAGTCTGGTACCCACAACCACAAATTGTGAAAAGCTCGTTTGAAAATTGTGATGGGAGGTCCAAATGATTTCTGTAAGATGCTACTAGTAGGCTTCGGCCAGCCACGATCAATTTGATCCTCGATGCTGAAAAGGTGAAGAGCAGTAGTGAAACGGCGGTGGATATCAAAAAGAAATTTGCTTGGCAAAGGAAAATCTGTAGGATTTGTCGTAGATATCTCAAACCATTCTAGAGATCCAGAAAAGTGAAATCCGTTTCCAAAGAAGAGATTTTTGAGTGGCTCGGGATACTTGTATGCCAATTTATACTAAGATCAAAATCAACATTTACAAGAAACTGTGATCAAAATCATTTTACTCACCGTCTCCAGTTGCATAGCCCCGGTATCCACATCTTCAGAATCATCGACACTCTTCCGCACTTCTATGTGACCAGCCCGAAAAGCCTTATGCACACTCGGTGAAAGTAACCAAAGATTGCGCAAGGCAATTGCATTATCTTGAATCTGACTAGAAAGCAATGCATTCAACCGATCCACATTAGGTGTAGAAACAAAAGTTTCAAGGATGCGAAGTAAGCGTCCCTATATCGAAACATGAGAAATTATCTTACTACGCAAAATCATTTTTCACAAACTCACCTCTTCGGCGGACTCGATGTCTCGAAGAAAAGAGGGTGGTATCACGTGAGCAGACTCAACCGGTGTTGGCACCGGCCTTGTATTGCCCTCTCGAAACATCGACATGATGCAATACGGCCCATCTCTTTCTCTTACCAAAGCGTCAAGTGGCTTAGAAATAGGCTCGACAACCGTTACTATTAGTTGTCAGCATAGTCCAAAGACTAGTCGTCTTACTGACACCGGTTAGCTAACTTCCTCCAATCTTTCTTAAATCGGCGTAAATTATCTTCCACGTTGTTTGAGTCTCGGTCGATTATTGACTTTATGAACTGTGCGGCAAGTTTGGGCTCGACTGCTTCGTTGATAAAATGCTTCAGGAGTAAATGTTCAGTTGGTGACAGATCCGCGGCCGAGATTGCGTCATTGACGAAATCGACAGTAGCCATCACACAATACATATGCTCAATCCAAGTTGGAGAACCCGACCAAAATGGATTGTTGGTTTTGAAGGTGCTGATATTTCGTCAAGGTTAGAGGACGTTGATGTTGATATTGTCATATTCTTGATTGGCCAGTGCACAAACACCCTGCAGGCTGCGGCTCGCGTAAGGTAGGGCAGGTAGGTACCTACCTAGGTATATCCATTCAGCGAGGAGTTTGTAGTGACCTAGGCACTATGAGCATTGTCAGTCATAATTTATTAACGATGATAATCATTATTGCGTGCAATCAAGCAAAGTGATAAGTTATTACTAGAATTAAATGACTATTCCGCACAAGCAAATTTCAACCAGTCATCCACAATATAGCTAGCTGCCTTCATGATTGCCGATTTCATGTCTTGCTTAAATCTAATTTCCCTTGCTGTCTTTCAGTCGATTAATTTTGCTAAAATCTTTGCGTAATCACTCTCCAAGCTTCAGTTCTAGTTTCCACATCCACCTTGCTCTCGCCCCTGACTATCTCTTTTGCGAAATGAATTCAGATATGGAATCGCAGACCCCCTTAATTTTGGAACGCGAAAGTCTATACATCACACTGAACGGACTCGATAACGATGAGACTCATTTCCATTGGGGGTTGTATCTGTGGAAAGATCTTGCTGCCAAATCAGATGATATTGGAAAATACTTTCATGCCACTGACAGAGATAGTCCGCACAAGTTTTCGTATGAAGATACACGCCACTGTGATATACGAGGAGCCATAAATTTGCGTGTAGCATTGAAGATTGCTATCGTCAAGCCTGCACACTGGGATAGGCTAGGAGATTTATTGAGCCGGGTACCCATTCATGCATCAACCACTTGCCGTACTTGGGTTTTGGAAGCACTTAAAGATCTTGATGAAGGCATGGTTAAGTTGAAGCATGATGGCATCAAAAGCATCGAATGAGAATGTCTGAAATGTGCAAGAATTGGGGAAAGGATCATCGAGCAAAGCAATCACTGCAAATTCTGATTATCTATCTTCTGTTGATGAGGTGGTTGTAACAAGTAAAAGAGTCAGGGAAGATGAAGGTTCATCATCGAACGGAAAGGTATAAAGCCATCAGATAGTAGTTAAGAATGTCAAATCTATGAACTTTTGGAGATTTTTAAGAGCCTGAAACAGCAAATCGATGTGGTATGATGAGATCTTTCGGATTATTGAAGTGGTTTGGTATCGATGCTTTCAGAATCTTGAGTATACGGGGGAAACTATGAGTACCTATTGGAAGCTATTTTGTACCGACTACTGGAAAATACCTATGCATCATCAGTAACATTTTGTACACAGTTTTCAGATAGATTGAAAAGCTCTAAGAGTAAAAGTCACCTCACATAGCATTCAAGAACCTATTGACCAGAACTGATTCATGCCGATCTTCAATTCTTCCAAACTCAGGATTACTCAACTGTAAGAATATCCGCCCGTATTGTAAAATATCAGACCGGCCCTCAAAATCTCACAGGTAACATATCCTGATTTTCAGCTTCCAAAAACGACTCATCAAATTTAACAACCAAAAGGTGTCATCCCCCACAACTTCACTTCGGCTTTCAATTCTCTCTCATACTTGTCACCAAATGCCCTCCTTATAAGTTCCATCTTATCCTTGTGCAACAAGATTTTATACATACCTAGATAGCCTTAGTAAACTCCCAATATTCTGGCAGAAATCCCGCGCATCTCCAATCTATAATCCCAGACACCTTTCCTTTATCTAACAAGATATTCGACCAATGAAGATCTGAATATGTGAATACAGAACGATGATTTCTGGGCACATTTTCCTCCCCGAGTGCTCTAGCAGGTGTAGAATTTATGTGACCCACGAGAAAATTGTTAAATTTGTCGAAGCTGTTGACCACGAACACGTGTCACCACGAGATACTTCTCATCTCCGTGTTCTGCAACGTCGACGAAACGTGGTGCAGGGATGGATGTATACTACGCAATGGGTTCGAAGGCGTTAGGTTCGTCGATTCCAGAACGTGTGATTTGCTCAATGTAGAGTTTAAAAGTGGCCCGGGCTACCGATACTGCTCCTGTAGGTCCATGTAGCCATCTCCCTAATCGTACCAAGTAGTGATAGCAATATACACGTGCTGTAGACGGTAAACACAGCCATTAGCTATAAAAAAGTTGCCTAATTGGGGGAAAGGGAAAATCCGAGAGTAATCCCAGGCGTCGATCCTTTGGCCAATCTTTAGGAATCTTGTCAATAACAAAAAATTGATATGATGCAGTGGCGAATCGAGAATGGACTTCGAAGAGATGACAGCTCGGTAGTGGAAGGCGTTTCACATCAGGTGCGAATTTTTGCGTAAACAAGATGTTATATTCCCATTCCGTGCCATCTCCAAGGAAAAGACTGTACCAGTCTTCTGGGAAGAGCCTATACAGCCCGTACTATTTGAGACGTTTCAACACAGAACTCAATTTGTGGATATCATTGCTCACCATCTCCTCTTCTTCGAATCGCTTGATACCCCGGTAGGGTTTTAAGTTTATTGCAACATGTCCCCCCCCCCCCCCCCCCCGAAAAGCCTTATACATACTCGAGGTGAGGAGCCACAAATTTTTGAGATAGCTTTCGTCATTTTTCACTTGGTCTGAGAGGATGGTACGCAGCCGTGCCACATAAGAGGGTGTCAGAAATGCCTGTAAGATTCGAAAAAGGCGCCCCTGACGCTTGTTGGTATGATGATATCTGATTTTTGCTAATCATAAGTGTAGTAATTGTAAACCACTTCGTTGGCCGATTCAATTCCGTCAAGCATGGTTGGAGGGACCACGTGCGCCGATTCGTGTATCTGGAACCAACTAATGCTCTGCGCACATATAATGGCACGCATCAGCTTGAAAAATAGATACCTTACACAAGCAGATTTAGTACTGGTTTGTCCATCATCATGCAAAATTCCATATAAAAACCATAACCCGCGCTATTTATTCCCCCATCGTAATGTGTACGATCATCTAGCCTTAAATTCATATCTAACACCTACTGTTTCATTCCCTTGTCCTGGAAATGTCCGGAAGTAGTAGCACCCTCCGAAATTTGTAATTCGATATCAACGATCTCTATATTCCCCTCTCCAATTCAATGGAGAAATTTGCATACCATTGGGGATTATAACTTTGTACCAGGCCTGATGCAGGAAGAACCTACCATGTCAGTAATACTGAAACGGGGGTTTGGAGGATTCTGCAATTAAAGACAACTGTACGCTTAGTAGATCTATCACACTAGTGTACGCCATGAAGATTGCCGTGATCGATGATTACATGCAAGAGGCACTCGAAGAGAGAGTAACTTAAGTTCCTGTAGAGGATAACCAGTTCGCTACGTTGACCTGTCGCACATGGGTTTTAGAAGCATTATGGGCCCTCAACGAGGAGGGCTACATCAAACCTACCAACAAGGTTCGAATGATCATAGAGAAGACCTTATGTTGGACCAATGAAAATGCACTTCGGGAGGACGTGACTATTGCCGCGAGGGCTTGGAGCCAAGCGTATGATACTTAGTCTTTTGAATGGGTTGAATTCCGAGGTTAAAGCTGTGCGGGTGATCTCCAGTGTCGTATCTATCTGGTTATTGGTAGCCTTCGAGGAATGTCTATGTGGCATCCCGAGTATGGCAAACTCCGTCGGATCCAGAATTTTATATATTTGGTAGGAACGGAAAGCTGCCCCATGACGAGTCGGAGTATAGATAGCGCGCCAACCCGATTAACTTTAGGCACCGGTTGCTGTAGTTGCTCCCGTTAGTAGCCGTCCCGTATTTACTAGTTTTATTCTGCTTGGCCGTTTACGTATAATCAGCTAAGATGAGAACAGCATCTCAACCAGTGAGAATCATAATAAAGTCAGTTCCACACTCGATTATACATGTCGCGTGCACGCAAACATGAACGAACATAAACACAGATTGAGGTGAAGGTACACCTTCTTTGATATACAGGATGCCTTGGGGATATGTCATTGCATAAAATGGAAGACATCTTCTTAACGTGGAAGTCCTCGTGTTATTTACACAGATTCAAACTGATCGTCGAAAGAATATAGATAGAAGCTATGGTATGCACAAATCAAAACGAAGCAAACAGAAAGAATGAGAAAAATGAAAGTCGATGTTGTCTCCCGGCTATGCATGGAGAACTCCGTTCAGTTTGCAGGCATATACGTCTGTAAATGCCACTTCCCGCCCACCTGGTTTCTCGTTTGATAACAAGACCACTCAAAACAACCTATTTGCTGCAAAGCGCTTCTTCTGTTCAGCCATTCAAGTAGGTACCAACATTTGGCTTAAATCAATCACCGGATATGCTGTCAGAACAAGCCGCCATCAAATGAACATCTCACCCTATGTGAGTTCATTGGTCTGAGGGGTCGTGTGTAGTACAAATCTGAAGGCTGTGTAACGCCAAGAATTTTCCGTTTGCAGCGTTACGCGTTTGTGATTCCGCCATGTGCGCGATTAATTCGTTCAATGATCCAGCACCAATTGAAATTATTTGTGTCTCGCGGGCTTGCAAGTGCCGGGAACCTAACATGATGAACCGTAAAGCAATTCGGTGAGACCCTAGTCGAAATTGAACATCTACTCCCACACTCTTCATTTTGCTCCAAAAAAGCAAGTCACTTATCTCTTGCCGAAACTTTCATGAGGCGGCCATAGTAGCTGGATAAATAAATAGAGCAATCCAGTCTGTGCCAACTAAAAACTAGTGGCCGAGCCATATGAAGGTAAAACTTGGAACATAGAAATACCTAATACTTAATTATCATCATGATAAAATCTAAGGAATTTCCCAAGAACTTTCTTTTCGGCAGCCGTGAAGATTATATCCTCAAAACACAACTTGAAAGCATATCTGCCGAGAGAGAAGGAAACGTGGAATTCACCGCCCAGAATACTCAGTCGATGCATTCTACCTTAGCCCCGCCAAATACTCCTTGGTCCCCCAAAGACGCATCTCAAGATCACCAAGACTCACACAAGGGTCAAGAAACCCATCCGAATCTTGAAGATGGACACCATTCCAGTATCAAGTCCCAATCTAAAATGGCTTCATCCTCGGACGAAAATTTTGAACACTGGAAAATGATCGCTATCAACTCCCAGAAAGAGAACCAGAACTTGAATTCTCAGCTTATCGAAATCAAGGCTCAAAACAAAAATTTGATTGATGCACGGAACCGACGAGAAATCAGCAAAGGTTCAACTGAGACCATTTGGTACGCCCTTCTACAACAAAATTGGCAACAAGTTCAGCGAATCAAAGAGTTGGAGAAAGATGCAAGTTTTAGAAATATGGACGGGCAGCTCGAAGTACGACTAAGTTCCAAACAGATCGGTTCATTCATGGAAAGAATGAGATTGGCCCTGGAGTCCATGATGCACAAGAACGGTATCAGCCTACGCACCAATATGGATATTTTAGACACCAATACTGATCTCCAGCATCTTTTCCATCTTTTATATGGTGCCGAAACGAATTTGGGACTTGGGAAACTCATGAAGAATCTAGATCCACAGCTCTTACTTCGTGGTCTCGCATTGGCAGCGGTGAAGCAGTGGATTTTTATGACAGACTTTCCAGTATTCGAGGAAAATCGCTTGTCATTGGCGCAAATGAAAGTTATCTCACAAAAAGGTATATTGCGAAGTCCTCTTCGTTTTTTGCAGCATGCTAATCTTTCAATGCTTCAATCTTCAAGGCGACTGGAAATATGCTCACAAACTTGCGCTGGAGAGCTACATCAGTATAATACGGGATCCCTCTTTTTCGGAGAATGATTTACGCGAGGAGACACAGAATCTTGTGTCGAGATTTGCCAAGGCCATTGCTCCTCTTTGCAAGCCTCCGCATAATTCTGAAAAAATTCTCGGTAATATATGGGTCGATTCAGAAGGCACAGTTGGAACGTTATTTATAACAGCCTTGACTTTCAAAGCCAGTACTGTTGCCACTGGGCAGCAGTATGAATTTGTTATATACCCACCAGGAACGGCAACAACTGAAGCTTTGCCTGTTTTTGAAAGCCTTGTTGCATCCGAGCAGCCAGGAAAGGACTTGACTTGCGAAGTTTGGAGACATGCTTCTCTGTATGCTTATGAAATAGAGACTACTTCAAAATTGAATGATCCTGAAGGTATGATGATCAAACCAAGCAATTTCATTGTCCATGAGGCAGGAGTGCGCGAGAAGAAATCCTGCCTCAAAAGTGAAGTAGTAATTTCAAAAGGTAAGACAACACTCAAATTGATGGAGAATCACGGACAGGACTGACAATCGCTCAGACTTTGACGAGAGCCGTTGGGATACCGATGAAGAAATCAATTTACGAGCAAAAACTGGACTCGGGAAAAGAGAAAAAGCCAACAGAGGTGTAAAGGGCCATCAGATCAATGCAGACGTTGATGATACAGCAAATCTTGGGAAGTTCACCACGAAGAATGGATTGCAGCGGGGCATTGGGCCACCGATAATTGATCAAACAGGTAGATATTCCCAGGAACCACTCAAGCAATGTGGTGAGACACCTAGAGAATCATCATCCTATTGCTCGACCTGCTTGAACTTGTACCCAGAAGCAGTCCTCGAAGAGCACCTAAAGAAAAGTAAGTTACCTTGTATTCGAACTAACAGAACTAACAGAATGCAGGACCTGTTTGGTGCCAAGCTCCTTGCTCTATATGCAGCGGGAAATATACCCGGAAGTCCGACATTGCTAAGCATAAACGACACCAAAAGAATCAAAGAGTCGATGCGGAATTGAGCGGTACCAAAAAATTGAAAACATCTCCCCTCGACTTTTTAGTAGAAGTCGCAAAAAAGAAATTGGATGCCGATCGGGTGACAACAGTCGCGAAAGCAGAATTACCACAAAAGAATTCTGGTAAATCGAGACAAATATCTAACAGGAGATCAACGCGGCTGAATGTCCAAGAAGGAAGAGCTCTTGGAGTTGAAGATAACATGCCTCCTGGAGTGATGAACGACAGTTCTCCTAAGGCGAATTGCAATGTTCCTCTTGAAGTGGAAGCTGAGGATCTCTGCGACACCTCTGCAGTCAACGAAACTGAAACAAGACCAGTGACACCGAAGTCTTCAAGTTGTGAAAAGTGTGGGGCGATTTTTACATCTAGTGACGGCGTTACCAGACACCAAAGAATGAAAAGTATGGTAGAGCTATGTACTGTGTTGATCGATGAGCTAACAAACGACCTTAGTTTGTAAGGCGTGCCCTAAGTGTGGAAATTGGTTTGGCCGCAAGCAATTGCTCAGACATAATTGCAACCAACAAAAAAACACAAATCCAGACTGTGACAAAATGGCCCTTACTGAGCCCCATGGGCTTAGCGGGGATGAAATATCTGCTGCAACCACGCAAGCTAGTCCTGAATCGCCAGGTGATCCAGAAACGGAGAGCCTGAAAATATCAAATGACGATTGCCATGAGTTACAAGCGGATGCAGTCTGTAGTCAAACAAGCTCCCCTCTCTCCGAGTTTGAAAAGTCTCCTGTCCTTGCAATAACTCCGGTACAATATCCACCAAAGCGAACAAGGCTCTGTGGTGATCAAGATTCAGAAAAGCCACAGGCACAGAGGGATGGTTTTGGTACTGGAGAAACTGAAGACATGCGGCCGATTAAATTGCGTAAGTGAAATTGATTGTTGCGAAAACAATAGCTGACAACGTCAGGTCGATTGAATGTCATGCAAGAAGCGGCTACAATGACAAATCCCCCAAGTTTCTCTGATCAGAAAACACTCGAATTCAATGGCCATCATGTACAAGCACCGACTCCTTCTCGATCTACCACTTTCGAGGTTGAGAAGTGGCAGACTGTTGCTCCTATAGAATCCAACGAGCGGGGATCGGGAACGGATTTTAAGGTTCTCAACTTTGACAACTCTGCAGGTCCTCGGAACGCCTGGGATTTGGAAAGCGACTATATTGCCTTCGATTCTCATCAGGATGGTTTCTTGGGCTCATTGGGAGATTGCCAAAATCCTTTCAGCATCCATCAGGACTTCCACAATGAAAATCTTGTGCCTTCCTCAAGGTCAGCAGTGTGTATGGACGGATCTCGATCTCTCAATTTTTCTGCCCAGCCCCTTGCTTATGAAGATCATCATACCGCAGCGGGAAGACAGCCCCAAGGATCAACACACCCGGTGGCATACCATGTGACAAGAGAGAGAGATTTCGGTAATCCCCAGCGAAAATCTAGTAACGCCATCGCCGATATTCTTAATGCTGACCTTTTGAATGCCGAAGGGATCAGCTATAGTTATTAATAAGGGGCTTTCATATGTGTGCGAGCGAGGTTGTTGGCAAACAGTCAGTTTCTTGCTTTATTTGACGTGCGAACTGAGTTGAGTCCTATGTGTGTACGACCCAAAAATCGCCACTCCCTGTTATGAGGAGTTGCGAGGAAAATGGTCAATGGAAAAGACGTTATTAAGCAAGCATTAATGAATAGCGATGGTCACAAATCTTTGTATGTCTAGTTGTATACCTACCTATCTAGGTATCTATGCTTTTGTCTCCTGTAACAAGTCGCTTACCTAGCTGGTGACTTGAATTTCTGTTCTGAAGTATGACAAACAAGTATTCTGTGAGATAAGATTGAGATGAGAGTCTTATTGTTGTTGGGGCATCAACCTTCATACGTCAGGTTGGTTTCGAAACGACTTGTGAAACTGCAGCAAAGCCATATCAGGTCCAAAGGTGCGTAAGCAGTAAGCATAATGAAACAATAGAAGTGATGGATGAGATGCAAGAGTCTGAAGTATTGTACAGTAGATGGGAAAATTAAGCTTTTCGCTTCTGACAATTACTGAGACCAATTTAAATCATTTAGCCAAAACCCTAAAAATAGATTTTTGCTTAATGAAAAAAGAAATTTTAGAATCTGTATAGTATGTTTATAGAAATCTTATAAAGACAAATAAAATTCAATCTTATTAAAGATTTTTTATAAAAGAAATTATATTATTAAATAGCCTTTAGAGCTAGCTTTATTTATATATTTTTAGAATTCATTTCGAAATTTTCTATAGGAAGTGTATTAATTTTAAAATTCTATTTTCAAATAGTTTTTTTTATAATATATAGATCACTTGATAATAAGCGAAATAAGTTTAGTAAGAATTCCTTATTTCAAACTTATTTCACTTAAATTAGATGACTAATATAGCTTTAATTACCTTAGTGGGGGTTGCTAGTTTTTTATTATAGTGTCTCAATTGTAAAAATTTATTAGAACTGTGATATACGAAATTTAGTATATTCACAGAGTTATATTTAATATTATATTATATTCGAATATTATATTAAAATGAATACTGTATATAAAAATAAAACTATATAGAGAAGTGAAATTGTATATGAAAATAAAACTGTATATAGAAGCAAAACTGTGTATAGAAGTAAAACTATATACGCGAAACAAAACTATATACAGAAGTAAAACTATATATACGAAATAAAACTATATACAAAATAAAAAAAATCCCCACTTTTCTTTTTTTAAAAAATATCATTATTATTATTCTTTTTTTCCTTTTTTCTTTTTATTCTTTTTATTCTTCTTCTTTTTTTTATTCCTCTTTTTTCTTTATTCTTCTTATTCTTTTTATTCTTAATCTTTTTCAAATTATAAGTAGTATATACTATTACTACACTATTATCCTATATAATTTTTTTAATAATCAAATTCAATTAAATTAGATTATATAATCAAATTTATTTTTATTAATATATATCTCATCTAAATTAATATTAATTTCCTAATACAATACTAATTTTTTAATATAGTATTATCTTTCCAATATAGTATTATCTTTTCAATATAGTATTATTTTTCTAATATAGTATTATCTTTCTAATATAATATTATCTTCCTAATATAGTAATATTATAATTATAATTTAATTTTATATATAGTTTTTCTATATATACAGTTTTATTTCGCGTATACAGTTTTACTTCGTGTATATAGTTTTGCTTCGCATATACAGTTTTGCTTTCGTATACAGTTTTATTTTATATATATAATATTTTCTTTTAAATACAATTTAGACACTATAATTAAAAACCAGCAACCCCCACTAAGGTAGTTTTTATAATATTAAAGAAGAAAATATTTAATTTAGTATATAATCTTAAAGAAGTTTATGAAATGAAAAGAAAAGTAACAAAATTATTAATTAGAATTTAAGGAATCGATTAGTATAATTACTTTTGAATTATTTTGAAATTTGAAATAAATATCTAATATATTATAATTCTAATTATTTCAATTATATCTGTTTTATATTAATATCTCAAATATTAGGTATTATGATTAATCAAGTTTCAATTAATTAAGCTAATCTTTTTAATAATATAGAATTTTTTAGATTTAGTATACAACTTTAAAGAAATTGATAAAATGAAAAAGAAAGAGATTCTTTTATTAATTAGAATTCAAGGAATCGATTAATATATTTCTTTTTTAATTATCTCAAAAATTGAAATTTTTATTCAATATAATAGTATTCGAAGAGTAAAAAGCCTGATATTGAAATTGAAATTTATTCAAATATTATTATATTAGATATAAATTTCAATTTTTGAGATAATTAAAAAAGAAATATATCAATCGATTCCTTAAATTCTAATTAATAATTATACTTTTTTTTTTTTTTTTTATCAATTTCTTTAAGGTTGTGTATTGAATTGAATACTTTTTTCGGTATAAAAGCATACCACTAAATTCTAAATACATTTTTAGTTTAAGCGAAAATCTATTTTTGGGGTTTTGGCCAAATGATTCAAATCGGCCTCAGTACAATGCTTAACTTGACATGGCAAGGTTTGCATCTTGTTGTTGTTTGTACGATATGGTTCACGGAGAAGATAATCAGAGATCTTCACGCCGTCAGACATGAAGCATACTAGGTAGGTACTATGTCAGTAGATTGGATACCGGCATCCCTCCGTACCCAGGTAAGTACGAGATAACTTCATTCTTCATGGTGATCAGGCCAAGTCTGGTTACATCCTCCGCATTGACGACCTCTCTTGCGCCCAAGTTCCAAACCCTGTCCGATAACGTAGCGCCGACATCTTTTGGAAAGACTCCATAATTCCATATCCAGATACCACACTCACATATGCAAGAATACCTACTTAGAACACAATTGACACTTAATAATTGATATATTTCCTATGCTTCTTATTTGTTTTGAGTTCAAGAGCAGAACGGGCAGTTCGTCGTATTGATTGATTTGTTCTCACTTCATCTATCTACCGCGGTCAGACAAAACCAACACATATATACGGCTCCCGCGCCTACTTTCACATCTGCGGATCCCATCGTGTACTCGGTTTAATTGTAGGACTACCTAGGTGGATTCTGTACATCGCTCCTACCTCAGACACCATCTCACGCTTTATTTGGAAATTTGTTGCATACGACTGTTCCATCGCATACTGCCATTCTGGCGTTTGGAAAAATCGAAAATCTCTCAGGACTATCTATAAGATCGACCACCATTCCTTCTGAAGTCTGCGAAAGGGAAATTACTAAACAAGTGATCGTCTTATCGAATTACGATATCATCGTTCATGTACATGGGTTGCCAAAATTCAAGCGCATCACTTATCTTCCTCCAGGATCAAGGTTTTCGACTTCCTGCAACGACTTCCTGCATCGATTGAAGCGGCCCGCAGTTAACACTACACGTCTTTGCCATTCATACCTCAGCCTACTAGGTATCAATCTTACGAATAGCTTATCTGCAAACTTAGAATTGGAGAAGCACAAGCTTTGCCGCAGGAGAAAATGGAGGTTCCTCATTGTGAGATCTTTGCTCGAGGATCCTCAGAATCATGGCTAATATCGCTCAAGCAACTTTCACATTAGCCAAACCGGATCGGCGCGGTCGAACATTCCCGCAAGCTATTGCACATCGAGGGTACAAAGCTGCGAATCCAGAAAATACTATGGGCGCATTCAGAGGTGCTGTCGAGATAGGCGCGCATGCGATAGAAACCGATTTACACATCACAAAGGACGGGGTCTTGGTTATTTCACATGTGTGTTGTAACCTTCAGGATTACATTTCTCGGTGAGAACGATGGCTAACGCGCCTCTCAAGGATCCAAGCCTTAAGAGATGTTTTGGGAAAGACGCAAAGATTATAGATTGCGACTGGTCGTATATATCTACCCTTCGCACTGTCCAGGCCCCTCACGAAGCTATGCCTCGCCTTACCGATCTCTTAGAATACCTCACTACACCTGGGTTAGAAGATATATGGATATTATTAGATATTAAGGTACATTTGCCGCTATGACAGTGTTAGGAGAGATTTCGAGCTAACGAGAGTAAAAAGCTGGATAATGATGCAGAGCAGTTAATGAGTTTAATCGCTTCATCGATTAGAGAGGTGAAGCCAACAAGACCTTGGAATCAGAGAGTTCTATTAGGCTGCTGGGCAGTAAGTCATTTCTTTCTTCTTACTCAAACCTTTCCTTATCAACTATCTTTCTGCGCATTTTTGAAGGGTTACTGACGGACATTCATGTAGGCCAAGTATGTTCCGCTGTGCGCTAAATACCTTCCCGATTTCCCCATAACGCACATTGGATTTTCAATAGGGTATGCGAGAGAGTTTTTATCCATACCTAATATAAATTTCAACATGCTGCGGCAGATTCTAGTCGGACCTGGCGGTTCTAAATTTATGGCCGATGCCAAAGCTGCAAAACGATCTATGTTGGTGTGGACTGTTAATGAAGAGCAATGGATGAGATGGTGTATCAAAAATAAGATAGATGGGGTTATCTCTGATGACCCCAAGAAGTATCTGGAAGTGTGTGAGAAATACGATTCTGCAGATTCGAAACAGCCTGGCTTCGGGCTCAAAGATTGGGCATTGATTATATGGTTTAATTTATTGGCCATGCTATTTTCATGGCTATTCAGGTACAGATATGGCTTTAAAATAGACAAGAAAAAGGTTAAAGAAGGTTATGAGACATCGAAGCGCAATGCGGCATTGTCTTCGTGACACATCAACTCTAGAATATTTTGGAAATTAACAAGTACGCATGAGTTTTGCCGACTTTTCATCCCATAGGCTTAATGTGATTCACCGTAGGAAGGTCGAAGCACATTGGTTATCAGAGTGAAAGTAGTGAAGAAATGGAGGAAATCTGTCGAATGACGATGGTGGATTCGAGATATTCTGCCTGACGCCATTGGAAATACTAATTATGATTCAATGTCAATAGCAGAATTTTTCTCGTTCCTTCGTTTTGATCTATTGTTATTGGTTTCTTTACAGCAAATGACCCTTTACTCCTTGAATCACCAGTTTCCTAGATCCCAATCATCATTTCTTTTAGTAAAGAATCATACTCGCGTTGAATATATGTAATTTATCACTTGCAATATGTCTTCAGACTCTTCTTCTTATTTAATCTACGCAAGAATCAGAAATGTGCAATACATACACGATAATTCTAAAGTGTAACCACAAACAAAACTACACTTACCGCTGCCCCTTGTATCTTAGTGCGCTACGACAAAGGTGCGTTAAAACCCCTCCAACTATTGTTCATTACTTTGTGAACTGCCGCAAGTGCCGAGGCCAGGATAGTGACAACTTTGTGGTACACTGGGTGGAGAGGGAAAGCGAGTCTACTAGTAGTACTTTTGGCGGAAAGGAAGGGAACTGGAGAAAGGGTGAGGAGAACAACTATATGTTGGCCATAGGGACGTTTGAAATTGTGGCAAATGGAGATGAGACTGGCAGGGTGAGGGGTGTTAGGGTATATGAGAATGGAACGGAAGAGGCACGACGCGAGAAGAAAGGGCTGAAGAATGTTTCTCTAGATCTTTCTGGAACAAACAAGGCAAGGTTCGACGCTGAACCATCGCACGATATATACGACCAAACAAATGTAGGCACGCAAGAGCTCAAGCTTGACGGGCTGAGAACGCAAAGTCTTCCAATAAAGGGCAAACCCAAGAAACCCAACGTATTTGGTAGTCTACGGAAAATGATCGTTCGGCCGAGGAGTGAGCAGGACACCGCGGCAACAGGTGAGCATAAATCGCCCACACAGGGTACTGCCAAAACAAAACTCAATAGGTTCAATACAATCACTGGCGGTTTCCGAGGAGGCAAGAAAAGCGAAGACATGGAAGAAGAGGGTTCTCTATCTGCGTCGGTAGATGATCGGAAGGTTGATGATGCTACGGGGTACGAGTATCTTACGCCTAAAGAATTTCTCGACCTTCATTTTCAAGGTGTAGTTTCAGGCAACAGTAGTACGGATGTTACGATATCAAATGCGATTTCTGCACCTATCGATATACCTCAAAAACGTCAAGGTGACTCATCACAGAAGCGGACTGCCGAGAAGCGTGCTGGAGAATATATGAGCGAAATCGGTCGAAATCCCTTTGCGGACAATTCAGCAGTTGTCGACTCCTATATTAGGGATTCTGCAATCTCCGACGTCGAAAATAGCTACCAGGAAGGGGCATCAGAGCGATGGAGTCATGGTACTCAGTCAAGTGAACAAGGAAGAATGAGCCGGGAAACCGAGTTCTCTCAAGCTGATGAGGAACGAATGGAGATCATTACCGAGGCAATCGATGGAGACACGATTAATCTAACGCCGGACAATATCGATGACGTACTTGCAGTTTGGAAAGGAGGGTTTGGAACTTCAAACCATTCGTCACCTGATCACATACCTCATCGGCCTCATGCTTTGAGTCATTCGGTACACTCTCGCAGTATTGAAGCCTTGCCGATGCCTATACCTTTTCGTTCTCAAGGTTCAAGTTTAGATGTCGCGGGCTATAGTGCGAGCTTACCAAATGTTCAGGAAGACGAGAAGAAATTTACCAAAACTCAGTGGACGCAGGAGAATGTTTCCGAGAAAGTATCTTCCGCGCCTTCTGCAACTTTGCAGCGTGCCGTGGACTTTGTTAATCCGCCGAGGTGTTTTGATATGCAGCATGAAAACAATACGACGAAAGAACATCTTCGGGAATTTGCTTTGCCTAAGAGGAGCAATACGGTAGATGCACCACATTCTCAATGCCCCCAGGAAATATCAAAAGAATTTCCTCCTCAGGTTTTTGCTTTACCCAAAAGGAGTAATACAGGAGATGTACCATATTCTCGACAAGTCTTGGACAAGAGGGACGAACTTCCTCGCGGTTTTTCTTTTCCTAAAAGGAGTAACACAGAAAATGTTCCACATTCTCGACATCCTCTGGCTAATGAAATCACCCAGAGCAACACCCTCACCAGTAGTCCTCAGGCTTCAACAAGAAGCCAACCCGCATTACCAGATATACAAGAACCTGCACAAGAAACCATCGCTGGTACTCGATACTCTTTTCTGCCCTCATCTTCTACAATTCTATCCCCACCTCAGAAAGGCAAACAAAGCGAGCAAGGTCGCCAATCGCCCCGACTCTGGAATAGGAAAGGTACACCCATATCAAAGCCCGAAACTCGTGCAAATCCACTGGTGCCAGAGAGAACAATTGATAGAATTTCTACCATGACAACCATTTCACAATTTATACCTTCGCGAAACGAGGGGCTTGATGAAGAAACTACGAAGAATGCTGTTCCTCCTTCTAAGACATTCATGAAAGCGCCTCGACGACAAATGGGTAGTTCAAACGTGCAGCAACCTATTCAGAATCCTGTGATGTCTATTCCAGACGTCCCTGCAATTCCAAAAACTTACGCGAAACACGTAGCTGTTCTTCCTAAGATTGGTAGAGATGCAACTGGCAGGTTTTCCGTAGAGCATATCAAAGAAGACAAGCCAGCGCGCATGGGTAAGGAAGAACCAGGAGAAATATCGAGGAAAGAACCGGTAGAAGATCCGATAGATATGTACGCGAATTACACGATAGGAACTTGGGATGCTGTGTTGAGGAATAGTCCGGGGGAGGTGAGTCCTCTTAGTTCGTGTGAGGATTTGAATAGGATGGTGAGTCCGGTGAGTCCTGTTGAGGGAAATGCGAGCGGAAAGGCTTGGGATGGGGAGGGCAGGGATGGATGTTTGAGTGGGGAGATGCGTGAAGAGAGTCCGGGTCTGTTGTCGCAGCTTATACATCCGTCTACAAGATCTGCCGCACGCATACCCGCTACAGTATCTACCTCTCAACATCCACCTCTTTCTCTCCTCACTCCCCCACAATCTCCACTATTCCTACAACGCACTCCCCAGTCAACCCTCTCAAACACAACCCCCCCCATTTCTCCCCTCCACAGCGATCCCAGTATCCCCCTCATCCGACCTCTCCAAATCAGGAAAAAGATCCCACCTCCTGCATCAATGAAAACCGAAACGGAGAATTTGCAAGAGATCGAGGCACGGAGGAGACAGAGAGAGCAGATGGAGGAGGAATTTAGGAGAGCGGATGAGAGATTGAGGAGGTTGAGGGATGGGAGGGGAGGTTTGTGAGGGGGTTTGTGTTGGGAACTGGGAATTGGGAGGGTGGGGGGTGGGAGTTCTAGGGGAGCGATGGATGGAGTGGAGATATAGTAGGATGAGGCGTGCGAGATGATATGTGTGGAGAGCAGGGCATGATATTTTGGTCTAGGAGAAATGCGTACGGGAGTAGATATTAGATAATGGCAGCTTGAGAGTAGATTGGATCGGATCAGATTGGAATTGGAATTGGAATTGGAATTGGATATTGGGAATGATGGTTTGGTATACATGCGCTGGATTTAGGATATCAGAATACAGTGTTTTGAAGCTATGCAAGGTTATGGATGCATGAATGGAAGGATGGATAATATACTGCTATTGCTACTGCTACTGCTACTGATATACTAGCTGGCGCTGGTTGGAAGTTGTGTTGGTTGGTTAATTTCACAATTGGAATGTGAATTTACTCGAGTTTGAGTGTTTTGTGTTTTTGTTGTGTAGATCTGGGGATGTGAAATGAAGTAAAGTGACATATACGAGGTTCTGTTTAAGGGGTTAGGAGAGAGAATTGTGGTACTATCTATGGGTTTGGTGCTGGATAGACGGAGACAAGTGGATAGATACATGAGTGAAAAGATGCAGACAAATCAAGTTCTTGAAGTAGGTATTTACTTCTGGATGCCATGTAATTTGTTGCAATTACATCTTTAATACAAACTATAGTACGGAGATTTTCCTATCATCATCAATTATTTACACTTCATGAGTGTTTACAAGTAGATCTCGCTGCACGTACCGACTTCCACGTTCGATGTGTACTGGAATGATACATAGAACATGCGTATCCATCATCTCAATTCGAGTACTTTCGAATCTTGATTCTCAACCCGTAGGAGCGAGCCCACTGAGGAAAGGCACAAAGACACATGAGCCAGAAGCACACAGTCGCGATTTTCAATACTATGAATCCCGCCTTGGAAGTTGACAAAGAGTCCATGTCACTGACACCAGTCCTGTGATAGCCCATGATTTCCTAGTCCCTCTAAATCCATGAAATATACGTATCTAAAGAAGCAATAGTAGTACGCTACAGCTGCTTGCGCTGAGAGGCGGAAAAGATGTACTCAGCTACCTTCCCATGCAAATCAAATGTATCAAACCTTCTCACCACCCGTCCACACCATCTTTACCTAGACAGACACATGCCACAGACTTGCGATTGACACTTCATCAAATCCCAAACCAAACTCAATATTCAACACCCAACATTCAGCACTTGACACTTGCAAGTCATTGTGGAAAGTGAAACATCGTAAATCAAGAACGCCTTTGAAGAATCAATAATTCCGCGGAGTGGACGAGAATATCCTCCAACATGACGATAACCTATCCGCAAGCGAATCTCAGGTAGGTGGAGTGAGCACTTCTCCCCGATCCCCTCGCTACATTTCGATTTGAGCGAGCGTTTCCCCCTAAACAATTGCATCCTCCATCGCCACCCGAAAAATTTCTCGAACGGGAGAATCCTTGCGAGGTCTTTGGGGGATGTCTTAGGCAAAAGTAGCGGGTGAGGAGTTGGGTATACATGCGGTGTACTATTCCTGATTCCTTGTGGAGAATCGTACGAGGAACGAACTGTACGAGGAACGAACTGTCCGAGGACAGGAAAGAAAAGGAGTCACCGTCTATTAGGCGTGCTGAGAATTGAGTTTTCGTGGTCTCCATTGTCGTCGTCAAAGCGTTCAGCTTCGAATGAAAGACCGATTTGCGAAACGACAGCTGAGATCCATGCCAAGTTTTCAACAACACATCAATATTGGAACACTAATGTCCATCCAGATGTAATAATGTCAAGGGTGAAGAAAGTGTGTAGACCAGAAATTCACGTCCTGTCGTTTCATCGTTCATTTCCTTCGAAGTGTGATTATATTCTTCTCATTGCAGGTTTAGCGGCGTCTGCTAGGTGGCATTTTGCATATGAGGTGTGTGAATAGAGCGAATAGAGAGAGAATTATAAGCCATGCAGAGCAGTTAAAAAGAGGGGAGCGTAGTTGATCTCCCATGCCTATCTAGGTAGATTGTCGTTTTTCCTTTCGGGTAGCGGGGAAGAAGTAGTCTGTGCGCATATTGAATGTCCACTTGAACGCTAATCGTAGCTAATGATGATCGAGAAAAGATGTAATCAAGCCTTCTTGTAAACAGTGTCATTGTAACTACGATTTGAGTAATCCGGATGGTCTAGAAAGCTTAATTAGAAAGACTGCACGTACCCATGAGCAAAAGAAGGGTCCGCATACTATACGACGTATAACTAGATGGGTTGGTTTGTAGGTAGGTAGGTATGTATTTAAAAGCTGTGACCATCAATATTTCACGCCGACTATTAGTAAGCCCCTGAATATCAAATATTATTTTGTACGTATTTTGTAATAGACGAGATATATGAAATGCTACCTATCTGTATCAAGGAATATTCGATTATTAAAAACAATTTTGTGCTTAATAAATATATCAATTTATTACATGAAATATTTGATTTGAATCCTCAATTGTAACTTTGAGTGTAGGTCGCGAGCCGCGATGTACTCTTAGTGAACTGAGCTCCAATTCTCAGCCCCTGAATTATTCCACATTTTGTACCCCGGTGACCTACGGATCTCCATTGATACATATTCCACCAGATCCGAAGAATCTGAATCTGTGAAACTGGATAACATTACTTCCGAACAATTATTCCTAGCAAACATTATCGCCATCGAGCTCTTTGAAGCAATCGACCCCTAGCGATCTCTAGCGGAAGCTGAACAATGTCCGTCGATCGACATGGTGTCTCGGCAGTAAAGTACCACTAGCAGCAGATCCTTTCTCCACCTTTCGGGACCCTAATCACACTTTATCTAAATACATATGCAACTAGAAAATACGCTCGTGACTCAGAATTCACGCGGCTGATCTGCACTCGCGAGGAACAAGATCTTTTCTATTGATCGGTGTACAAGATATGCAAGGAAAGATCATCGAAGGATGGAAGAAGTATTTCTTGAGAGTTTTCAGCCACGCAGCCACGGAATAATTATGAGACCATTCGGAGTGTTTATGTTTTTTATGTCCTGCACACAGTGTCATCGAAACATTGCGGGACATTACCTTAACATGGCATAGTCAATGTCTCAAAATAAATGTTCTTTGAAGTCGCAATTTATGGCGGCAAGCTCGTCAAAGAGGAGTGGATTTTGGGATTAAGGGTGGAAGGAAGCAAGGAGAAGACGGAAGGAAAATTGTAAAGGCTAGACATCTTGAAACTATTTACAATCCGGAAACTTCCAGACTTGAGCAAGATTAAACGACATGATAGTTCTTTTTGATTGAGTTCAGCCTTTCGCTGTTCGTCCACGCGTCTAACGGTTTGAACAACGGCTTGCGGGCAAGACATAAAGAGGGACGATAAGAAAGCATACTTTCGAACTGTTGTCAACGTTCTCTTGACTTGAGACACGGGCCCGAGAGAATCATGCAGGCGGATAAGGAACAACATGATACATTCCTGACATCGTGTCGTCGAGCGCTTAATAGCGAGACATTCGTAAGCCAGCCTCGGCAAAACTTCTCGTAATCACATGAAATTGGCATACGGACATTTCATATGAACAACAAGAGCCAATCTTTGTACAAATCTGATGAACTCAAGCCCTCTGTTCCAAGCGACAGACGGTCCGTCACGAGCTTCCTTGCTTTGATCATTTCCTTGAGGAGAAAAAGAAAACATACCGCACGGTGGCGTTGCCACGATGATTCTTTCATACGCCACAAAACGTGAAGACTCACGTACGCCACCTTTGTATTTCCCTCAACGTCGTGTTCAAAATACACGTTTATATGCATCTAATAGTTTGAAGGCTGACTGAACCATTCTCGTCCGCACACATCACTTGACATTGCTAAAAATAGAATTTCTTTTGTAGACGTCTGCTACCGGTGAAGCTCCTGTATTGGGACGAGAATGCAGATGAAACAATTACGTATCTACCTATATCACACACCTTAAACTTAAAATCATTCAGATCGAATGATAAGCTACTAGGTAGGTATGCAAGTTGATAGCAATTGAAAGACTCGCGATTATTTTTCACTGAATCGTGTCGCAATTTATTGGAAGCTGGCAAGAAAAGAAAAAGCGATTACAACATGAAGATCCAAGAAGCAAATACGATGACCAGCTAGGTAACTTGGCCTTTTGGTGCCACGTGAGGTTTTTTTCTCCTTACTGTGGAGGTTGAACCTTCCGCATTCTACAATCGTGCCGGACTTGATGTAATGAGAACCAGTAAGGTGATACAGTATGTCATTGTATCCCTCACAAATCTAGGCACATAATTGCGGAAGTACAAAAGTCCGGTTTATATAAGATGAGATGGTAAGATGACAGGAAATCTTTGAGATCTTAATCTGTTAGATACCCGTTCACCCACACCTGCAGATGCAAGCGCGAGACAATCTTCCGCAAAGGTAATCTTTCACATTTTTAGTACAACGATGCAATCGGGTGATGATACACTATGAGTGGTAAAAAGGCCTTCAGATGATATCTTGGTAAGCTAGTCAGGTAATATGCAATATCCCAACCATGATCATATCAATGGATGGAGGCTGGGATATCTATCAGAAAGTAAGCACATATACTTGATTTTTTGTGATCTTCATAGATGGATTTTCATCTTGACATCAATAAACATGGGGAATCTAGCCGAACCCCTGGTCAAACTGCGGAATGATCCATCAGATATGAAGATCGATATTTCAATATTCATTGTAGGCTTCGCCCAATGCCATCCTGTTCTCCTCTCGTGCTGTTGTGCTATTGTGCTGCAGTGCATATGTTAGGGTTCTTTGAGGCTGGTAGTTTGTTGGAAAGCGGAACTAAAGGTGGGATTGGGGATTGGACCACTGTACGAGCCAAACTCAGCTCGGTGAGCAGAACCCCGCAGGTTGTAAGCATCTATTCATTATCTCAAGCCTCCTCGTTATGCGCT